CCACTTTTGAGTCATTTAATAAATGGTTGACCTAGTGTGACATCAACCTAGGCTCATTCTGAAAATGTAGTGCTATACATTTCTAGAGAGTGTCAAATATGTCCCAGGAGCTACTTTTATTTATTTATTTTTTGTTGCCATTTTTGTTTTCGCTAATCCACCAGAGGCCGCTGAAAAGAAAAGCCCTCGCCGGATTTTTACAACATTTTCAAATTTTAGCACATGCTCACCCTGTTATTTACTGGTTTATATTATTTTTTGGCTTCTGTTTTTGTCTTTGTGCACACTTTTTGGAACTATTCTTCTCCAGTCTCAGGTCTGTCAATGTACATGGTGAGCCACTGGACAAACTGGCAACAGCAGAAAAGCCCATGTGAAAAGAAACGGCAACGGCATCATACCTACTTCTGGCTACATAATTTGTGATCTCCAGAAATGCATTTAGGGCTACGTTTTCAGAATGAGCCTATATGTTCTGTGACATCCATGTTCACATAAAAACAGGGAAAAAATGTAAAGTTAGACAAAAGTCTAACTCAGGGCCACTAATGAAAGATATTCAATTTTTCACAACCTAAAGACACCAAATTGACCAAAGTATTGTCTCTCAGGGACACTTTGGAAATCTGAAGCATCTCAGAGTGTTTTTAATGAAAGAGAACAAGATTTTTAAACAAGTGAGGAGCAAGGAGAAAATTAATGGAGGGCAGAAAGAAGAAAGAAACCATTGATTTATTGTAGACCGAGGACTGATGTTAAGCACTTGTCAGAATGGACGGATTCTGTGGATGTCAACAGTATGGGTCAGATGAGGTTTGTTTTCCCATTTTGGACTCTTTTTGCTTTTCTAATGTTCGCTGTGTGTTTTGAGGACACCATCCTGCTGTGCTTCACTCCACGCCGAGCTGCACAAGCTGGAACAGATGGCTGCTCCTCTCTCCTTTCACTAGCTTCTCACTCTCTCCATTTAGTCTAATTCATGAGTCCAGCTTAATGCCTCGTGTTGGTCTGTCAAATGGCAGAAAATAGACTATTACATTATTAACGAAATAGAGAGTGGTGTTTGTGCAAAACTAGCCAATATGCGGCTGGCAGAATGTTCTGAATGTTTTTTTTTTTTTTTGTGAGCTGATTTGCAGTTTAGTAAACCATTAGGTGGTTGCGAAACCTGTCAGGTGTCCAGCAGTTTCCTTTTTTTTTTCTTTAATAATTATTTTTTAATCATTCATATATGTTCCAAATATTAAATAAAAATTTCTGTTCTTTCATTGTAATTCCAAATAATTTGTTTTTATAATTCTAACTTTATTTCAGACAATTCTAAGACTATATCCCACAATTAAGGCAAGTTTTGTTTATTTATTTATTTATTTTTATATAGCACATTTCATACAATTCAAAGTGCTTTACATAAACAGGAATAATTCAATTATATTAATCTTTATCTGTATAGCACTTTTACAATATAGATTGTGTCAAAGCAGCCACACATAGAAGATTTTAGTGAATTGAAACATTGTTTAAAAGAGCCAAGTATAAATAAAACAAAAACAAATTATATAAAAAAAGATGAAAACAGTGTAAAGACAGAGTTTTTCAATATTCCAAAACACCGGTGTATCATATTTTCTCATTTTACTTTGGGACTTCCCCATTCTGGCGATACCGATTTTTGTTAACACTTTACAATAAGGTTCGTTAGTTAATGCATTTACTAACATGACCTAATCATGAACAACACATGTACAGCATTTATCAATCATAATTGAACATTTACTAATGCATTATTAACATCCAAGTCCATGCTTGTTAACATTAGTTAATGCACCATGAGTTAACATGAACTAACAATGAACAACTGTATTTTCATTAACTTATTAACGTTAACTAACACGAACAAATACAGTAGTAAATGTATTGTTCATGTTAGTAAATGCATTAATTAACATTAACTAATGAACCTTATTGTAAAGTGTGACCCGATTTTTCACCTAAAATTGAAAACTTAAGCTTTACAGCTCTTATTAAGTGCACTTTTACTCAGCTCTAATTAAGTGCAACAAACACTTTTAAAAATATATAATTATAAGATGTTAAGTTACATATGCTTGAAGTTACCACCCCCTTCCAAAAAAATCATACTTCTGAGAGAGAAAAAAGGTAAAATTAAAGTAATAGTTCAACCGAAAATAAAAAATCACTCACCATTTATTTCTAAACCGACATTATGCTGAAAACAAAGATATTTTGAAATAACATTAGCCATTGATATCAACAGTAGAAAACCATTCTATAAAAAGACAATTGCTACTAATTTTTAACATTAAAAAAAAAAAAAAATCTTCTGTTGTGTTTAATTGAGAAAAGAACCCCAAAGTAGATTGGAATATATGGAGGCTGAGTAAATGATTTCAGAATAAAATTTTGGGCAAACTATACCATTAATTTAGTCAAAACTGTCTGCTCAAAAGTCACAATTTGCCATAAATCTACACTGTAAGTTATTCGGCATATCATACACAAGACGGAATAAGGCACAAGACATGTATGGTGCGATTTGTTGCTATTTTCAGACCTGCGCAACCCTAATTTTTTAGACACATGGGTGTTCCGGTCTAAAAAGAAGGCGTGTTAAGGCGCATTGTTGATGCATTGCTATTTTCAGGAACTAAAATCAGAGATGGCAAAAATACACACTTCCTTTACTTAAGTAGAAGTACAGATACTCATGTTTAAAATGACTCTGGTAAAAGTTGAAGTACTGACTACACTTTTGTACTTAAGTAAAAGTAAAGAAGTACAGCTTCAAAAATGTACAAAAGTTAAAGAGTAAAAAGTTCTCGTTTTAACCACAGTCCCAAAGACATGCGAAAAAATGGCTTGTTTTTGAACTGGAATGTGTCTCTCGTCTACCGGTGATCCTAACAAGCAAAAGGTATCTTATTACCGCGTAAACAAGGCAGCATCAGTCATGTTAGATTTGCCATCTTCCTCTGTCACATCTGCGTAGTCATCCTAGCTTTTCTCATAGTAATCTTCATTAACTAGCCCACGTACGGTGCGCGATAGCCTTGAAAGGACCACGCAGTGCAGCACGCAGGCGCGCAATGAGAAAAAATAAACTGACAGCATCAAAACTGTGTTCAAATTGCGCAATGACAATAATATAGATCATGCCACTAAACACATGAAAACGAGTTTAAAAATGTTTAAAAAATGTAAGGAGTAGAAAGTACAGATATTTGTGTAAAAATGTAAGAAGTAAAAATTTTAAAAGTCGTCAGAAAAATAAGGAGTGGAGTAAAGTACCGATACCAGAAAAATCTTCTTAAGTACAGTAACAAAGTATTTGTACTTCGTTACTTCCCATCCCTGACCAAAATAGACTGCAACATTGACCAACTGAAAGCTGCTCTAAAGTCCAGCGCAGAGC